TAGTAATTTAAAATAATCTTGTAATTAAAATCACATTTAAAAAGATAATGAAGAATTTGAAGGGATATTTAAGGATACTGAAACAAATCTAAACTCAATGTAAAACACATTTTAATAACCATAAACAATCACATGATTTTTCTTTCTTTTTTTAGAAAGGTCATATTTGCAGAAGAGGAATGTCTGGCTTTAATCCAATCATGTTAGTTATAATGGCTTGTGGAGTGGATGTGGATGCAACACTGACGCATAGCCCTGGGAACTCTGGGCATCTCTGACTGAATTCTCTAGTGTGAGATACTTGTTTGGGAAACAAGAGTGATCTCTCACTCCAGCACTGGACCTGGGCCCACAGCTCCTTGGATGCACCGAGGATCTCACACACATACTGCTGCTTCATTCTTTTCAAATATTTGCAGAATGCTCTCAAGAATCTATCTCTAGAAAATACACCATGATCTTTAAGAGACATATGCCACAACACACAAATGACTCGCCAGTATAGGGAAAGCCAGAGGTGCTGTATGTTGGCTAGGCCTGTTTTCATTTCTTAAGTAGATAATGATGGAATAGTTAAAACTAGAATAAAGAAAATTAAATTCAGATATTAATCTATTTCAATTCAGGCCCAAAATCTCAGCATTTGAAAGTAAATGCTTAGAAACATGACTGGTATTTGACATAATATAAATTGGAAGCAGGAGTGGCATCCACTTCCTAAACAGCATGCCTCTGGAAACTCTATGAACTTTGGTAAATGTCGATAGTTGCAGAAAGGCTTCAGGCCTTTTGTTCATAGGGTCACTATGAGCCGTGTTTAACTCGATGGCAATCAACAAATAACATAAATTCTAACAACAAAATCTGCAAAGCTTTACTCCTCCTACTAGAGGTACATCAAAACAGGCAGATGATAGAAATTAAATTTGTTTTTTCATCTCTGACCCTCAACTATATAGGAGGTAGAAATTTTTATATCATGTATACAATATTTCATCAATAGCTAGTAAACTAATTTCATAAACCATCTTTCAGCTGAAAAAATACACTTACATCATGTTATCTCAAGATTTCTAAGGAACATAGCTATTTTTCCAGTCTGAACTCCTCTGCTGTCCATGAGAAAGTCTGAAATGTCCCTTCATTCTTGGCTGTTACTGACCAAACTCCAGGCAAGTCTGCACAAGGTCCTAACTACAAAATATAGTTTTTGTAGGGAGTGATAAATAGTCCGTCCTCCCCTTCTCTGGACACATGATTACTCATAAGAGTTTGTGGTCTCTTCTGAATCTAGTTATGCTTGTATTATATAGAACTCACCCATCAAATCCACTGTCATCTAACTGTGATTCATAATGACCTTAGAATACAAGAGGATTGCCATCTTCCTCCCTGAAAGCAGCTAGTGAGTTTGAACCTCTGACCTTTTCAGGAAGCAGCCAAGTTCTTTAACCAGCACACCACCTGGCCTTGTGTTCCATAAAAGAAGGGGGAAGTCCAAGTTCTTTTGCATTTATCTCTTGCAGGCCAATGAATGAACTGAAATTCCCTGCTTTGACTGCATTTACTCTCTGCATTTTGAGCTACTGTGGGCTAGACCCTGTCTGGGTCAAATGGTATATGTATGAGGCAGGCAGTGGACAAAGCCTCACCCAGCACATCCAATGCAAAGCCAGCCATCCAGGACTATAACATATACAGAATACATTAAAAAGCTGCAACGTAAGAAGTGGCAGCTCATCGATTACTATCTAAAATGAGGGTTTTCTATATTATATAGTTCCCAAAGATCGACAATGCTGATGAATGAAGAGTTTTTGTTTCATCAAGTAGCTATAAATAGTAAAACATTAAGGTAGACTAGAAATAATAAACAAGTCCAACATGTTTTAAACCAGATTTATATTTTATAGGTTTGTTTTTTTTTTTTTAATTAAAATTGACCCAAAGCAAAACTTACATTACAAAGGAAGAACAAAATACATTAGGATAACACATGAGGAGTTACATGAATGCTAGATTTGGGAAAACATCTTTATCTCAATCACATTGTGGGCTACTGAACAATTCTGTATCAAGTCAGATCCTCTATTTCATCTGGCCCACACTGATAATCACATTCCACATTCTGCTGACCTAGGGGTGCATCTGACAGACCACACTCTGCTCCTCACTCCAGATGTGCACTGGCTACTGCCAGGACATGGAATTCTCAAGTGCAAATTCTGCTCCAGGCATGACTGATAATGGATTAAAACATAAAAGTCAAAGTCTTCCAAACTAACAAGCATAGGTTATTATTTTATAGTAAATAGTTTAGAAATATGGAAATTAAATAATCTAAAAAACACTCTTACTCTGTTGTACAATTATAAACACAAATATTTACAAAAAATATTTTCAAAAGATGAGGTTTGCAGTTCATTAATGATCATAATCTTTTTTGTGAGCCGGTTTCTTTGGTGTATTTGCCAAATAAATTTTTATAAAGGTTTAATCATAGGCTTAAAGAATACATTTTAAAAGAAACCAAAGTATCAATGACAAATCAGACATGTTCTGAAGGTTTTAAGTCAAGAGTCTAGAAAACCTACTATGTTGATTTTCTGAAAATATTTGTTCTCTCAACTCATTTGATGACCCTGGTATGCTTCTGTGAAACCCAAATTCAAACAAAGGCCTGCATTCTCCTTGCTGTATTCCAACATGACCAATCTGAGACATTTAAGATATTGTTAAATTATGATATGTGATTGGGATTTTTATTAACAACAAAAGTAAAACATTCTTTTTAAGTCCAGATAAATCAAACGTCAAACAATAAATAATGGAATTATATACTTCTTCATTAAATAGAAATTTCAATTGCACAAAAAGTTCTCATAATTTTTTTCTGAAGTCACAGCAACAAAAAGATCTTACTATTTGGAATTATTATTATTATTATTTGAAATTCCATGACTCATATTTGATGGCTAACTTAGTTTGAAAACCTTTGAATGGATGAGAAATAAAGTCCTTTGAAACTAACTAAATAAATTAATACATACACATAAGGAGATAAACCCAGTCTGAACACAGCATTAACATTTCTGCTCAGAGTACAGAATTCCCAGGCACACTCCTACCTCCTCATTTCCCTAAGACTGGGGATTTAGGAAGAACTGACACTCTTTATTTTGGGCACGTCACATTCCTGGCACTGCTAATGACCTGAGTATTGTTTAAAGAATTAGAATAGAGTTCTGTTCTTTCTTTACAAGGGACTCCTTCCTCAATATTAACTTTCCAGAGATATTTTTACCAGAAAAAAAACCAAACAAAACCCAAACAAACTGATAGATCATCCATTCCTCTAGACTGGGCTCAGGTTAGAGTTTGAGGACAGCAAACTCTGGCAGGCCACCTGCGTCCAGGGACTGTATCAGCAACGGTCCAGATCATTCTTCTCCTGAAGTTTCCATCCTTCAGACATCTATCTGTGTGCTGCCATGGGATAGCAGGCCAGGCACTCTAAGGCCACAGCTATTCTGCACCTAAGAGAATATATTCTAAGCTTGGGAAACAATCATACTGCCTCTGAAAAAAGCAAAGCTATATCTGATCTGCGTTATACTTCTCTTGTTGAAATAATCATGTACTTAATGACCTTTCCACCCTCCGTAAGACATTCAGAAAAGAGAAGCCCTTCATGTAGTAAACATCTGTCAGCGAATTTATCACAGATATGTACATATTTTGATGTTTCCAAAGCACTATTAACAACATTGGACATTTGAAAAGGTCTTCTCAAGCATCGTCTTCAATACCAAGACCTCTGGAAATTTTTCTGGTTTTACACTTCATCCTATCAATGTTCACTCTGCAAATAGATGCCCAAGCAACGCACAAAACAAAATCACTCTCCTGAAAAACTTCACTATTTCACTGTAGAACCTCAAAACAGATAGGAAATGTTAAAACTTACAAATGTGCACACATTAGAAATGTTACCCTTAAAAAGATATTTTTAACAAGGAAGAAAAGAAACACCACAAAATATTTCAAATTATGTTACTGCTGAAGTCAAATGGTTTAACAGCATTTGGGGTTGTTTTGAGGGAATACTACATCCAGGATATGGAAGTGTCAGCCCCAAAGTGAAGTAAAAAAGCAAAGCTTAAAATGAAAATGGTAACTGATGTGAAAATTAAAGTAGTGGTTCCTTCTCTCATGGACATGTCAAAGCTGGTGGTGGAATAACAAACACCAAAGGAACAATGGATAAAATACTCCAGGAGAATATTGTACAGGAGGCACTGTTTTAAAAACATAATACACTGTCTTTATAAAGTTATTTTCTTGCCCACGAATGTTTTTAAAAGCACAATTCAGCCAGGCGCAGAAGACATAAAGTCTCTGGGTAGTGTACTACATTTGTTAAAAAAATAAGTTAAAAACAAGAGCACACCAACAAGAAAGCAGAGGTACTGGATTTACGTTGTCTGACAGCTATATCAATTAGGAAAAGAATAGTTTGAAACAGCCAATTTGCACTCATTAAAAATGAATGAGGTGACAGCATCATTTCTGGAATTTCTCAGGGCACCCCCTGGGTGAAACTGGGCCTCCAAACATTCCTTTAACAAGTGCTTTGCTGGTTTAGAATGCATACCAATAAAACTAGAAAGAATTTGGAAAGGGTAAATTCTCCACTCTGAATCTGCTTGCTTCATTGAGTAAAACAATTTTCCCCCCTAAATTCAGTATTATATAGGAAGCTTGGACCTTGTAAACTTGAACCAAAAAAACCAAATTAAGACCTTTGAGCATGTGGTGTGTGTGTGTTTATATATAAAAACCCCTTCCCTACAATGAAAACAAACAAAAACCTAGAAGTGTATACCTGCTTTCTGACTTAACAGTAAATCAGAAATTGCATAGGATATACTGTGTGCAAGGCAAAAAGCCTTTTAAGCATGTGGAATTAACTCCTCATTTCACGCATAGTTCTTTGAATATCAGATATCATCAAATTTGTGTTTTAAGTAGTCTTTCATGACCTTGGCAATTGGTAGTTCATCAAGTAGCTTTAGGTTTTGAAGGCCTATACATTGTCGGATTTTAATTCGGCACAGGTCCTGCAAGTTTCTGGGCTGCCCTAAAAAAAAAACCAAAAAAAAAACACAAAAAACAAACACAAAAACAAAAACAACAAAACAGAAAAAAGAAAATGTTACAAAGTACATTTAAGGTAAGTGCTTAAATTCTAAAATGAATCATTTCTTTCTTAGGGACATAATTTTACATGCAAAGGAAATGGTCCAGGTACCTTTCAGTGACGTCTTTTCACACTCCTGAGAAGGCAGACACTTCACCTCAGTTTTAAAATGATACTGTGAATCAGAGATTTAAGTAAATCGTTCTATGTCAGACAGCCAAGGAAAGTCCAAGATGGTGACTGAAGTTAGCCTCCCTGACCCAAAGCTTCATGCTCTTCCTGCAACACATCAGGACAATTCTGCTTTCATCTTGGCCTTCCATGTCCTCCATGGCAACTGTGAATTAGCTATACCTGTCAGCTCTGGGCTGATGATGGCACAGAGACAGGTAGTCAAGCCCTAGTGCTTCCTGACACCAAATCTATTCACTATTCTTTTGATGGGGACTGTTCAGATGAGATGGGGGAAAGGGAGGCACAGGAGGGTAAAGCCAGGAAAGCACCCCAAGCTATTCTGAATCTATTCCTCTGTAACCTCAAGGCCCGAGACCTGTCAACAACAACAGCTGTAATTTACCACAGAAATCAAACTCTGAAATATTCCCATCCCAGCATCCTTCATTCTCAAATACTTTGACCAAAACAATACAGATGACCTGTTTGCTTTTATCTGGATACAATCAAATTTTCTTACCAACAGAATTGCAAGTGTGTTTAGATTTGCATAAATTATGCTCTTCCAAATTAAAGAATGGTAATAACAAAAAACTAACACACTCAATTGCTTATTATTCTGTGTTCTGTATTATTCTAAGCTCCTAATCTCATTTATGAGGGACATACTTTGATCATCACCCCATTTTCTACATTCTCTGAGCCTCAGAGAGATTAAGAAACATGTTGAAAACTCAACTGAAAATTCATACTACAGCAGTTCTCAAACTTCTCACCTTAAAATTCCTTTAACACTTTAAAAACCATCTAATTCTAGAAGTTCAGCTTCATCTTGCTTAGATACACAATTAACATCCTTTGTAGCAACAGTCAGGCTTTAGGAGATGCACCGCACTGGGAAAATCTGCAATTAGGGACCTCTCCAAATTACTGAGGAGTAATGATGTCAGTTTAAGGACTAAGGTGTATCTTGTTCAGGTCATACTCTTTCCGATTACTAGGTATGCATTCAAGACCTGGACAATGAATAAGAATGACAGAAAAAGGATGACACCTTCGAGCTGTAGTGTTGGAGAAGAGCACTGAACATCCCATTGACAGTGAAGAGAACAAACAGATAGGTCTTGGAGAGGGTGTAGCCTGAGTGTTCCTTGGAGAATTTGCTTCACATTCTTTGGGCATGTTGCTAGGAAGGGCTATTCCTTGGGGAAGGGCATTGGTGGAAGATCATCAAAGGGGAGGAAGACCTTCAACCAGGTGGATTACAGAGTGACTGCTGCAATGGGCTCTTGTGTGTCAGGAAGTGTGAGGATGGTACAGGACAGAACAGGGTTCAAATCTTTTGTTCATAGGGTCACTACAAGTCGTACTCGACTCGACAGCACCTAACAACAACAGAACAATAATTCTAGAAGATTCAAAAGAACTTTTGTTAAACAACTTAAATAGGTAACATGTTTGATATTAAAACTAATATTAAAAAGCTATCAATAAATGTAAAAATAACAAAAAACAGAGTTACTGGATGCTAACAAAGGCAATACAATTATGAAAACTATATTTCCTAATATGGACAAAGAAAGTCAGAAAAAGGGCATTCTTTCACATTTCTACAAAGCTCAGTCTGCTTACCAGAAGATAGTCAAATTTTCTTCATGCTTTTGCACTCAATGTGTTTTGATTAAAAAAACAAAACAAACAAAAAAAACAACCAACCACACAGCATGCAACCTGTGGAATATGTCACTTACACGCATGAAAATTTGAATGTGAAAAATTGTTATTACATTATTATGAAAATCATTTTGACCTCAGAGTCTGGAAGGGTCTCAGGGAAATCAGGGAGGGTCTCCAGATCACACTTACAGAAACTGTGGCTGCACTGAAGATCTGGGCTTTATTTGTTTACAGAGTCCAACAGCATTCAAAAGCAATCAATTCATCATAAAGGAAAGGCTTCTTAAAACTCGGGCCCCTGCTCTCTAAGGGCTCTATGACTATGTGCATCTAGAAGTCACCTGATGGGTGGTCTCTACAGAATCACAGAGCTACTGTTTTCCTGGAAATGTCTGGTACCTGGGATACACATACAGATGCTTGTGCCCACAGCCTCATGCTCCATCTTCCTCAGCCTTCTGTTCTGATGGCACTTCAGCAGGGGAACAAGTCCAGCCTTCCCAGCAGAGCCCTCCGCTCTGTAGCCCCTAACAAGGCACTAATGCATGGTGCCATCCTCCCTGACTGCCAACTCCACTAGGGCAAGACCACTCCCAAGCTCCACTAGTATGATCTAGACACAGGCTCACCCACCAATGAACAAATATTTAATAGGGTTGTCTTATAAAGCATAAAAGGGTCTACTCATTGTGAAACAACAATGCCAACAGCTAATTATTTCCTAAGTGATTCGGAATATTTTCATCATTATTCAGGGGCTATATTTTTATGACAAGAAAAAGTTATCACTGTTATTTTTTAATAAATGCTTACATTAACTGTTCTTTAGATGCATGCCAGACAGAATATGAATGAGATGGTAATCTTTTAATAAATAATTTCTTTTTCTAGTAGATGGCAGGTTCTTTTAAAATATAATCTTAATAAAAGAGAACTACAATATAGACCAAAAAAATAGATGGGGAAAACATGACATACATGCATACTCAAATAAAAAAATGCCACCCAATGAAATGTAAAAATGAATTTACTGGAATTTGGTTAGTTAGGCTGAAAGAAAAGAGCCAAGACAAAAAGTTACCTACCAGATCCTCTGATTAGTTCTTGTTGTAGGAAGATACAGAATGGAGAATGACACAACCATGCCTCGTGCTTATTTTACAGTGTGACTGAATGTGCCTATCATTAAGAAAAGGTGGGGAGAGGTGTTTCCATAGTAACATGCCTTGAAACTAGGTGGGCTTGTTGTGATGAGAAAGTGGTGCTAGCTGACTTCCAAGGCCAGGTCATAAAAGATGATACTGATTGAACTAGCTCTGAGGATACAAACTCTCAGGACGCAGCTATGTGAACACAGAGAAACCCCACGAGCCTCTAAAACTGTACTGAGGTCCCTGCTGATAGGCCAGCCACTGAGCAAGATGTCTGGGAACTGAGGTGTCCTAGATAATTTGCTCCAGGTGACACTGCAACAGAGATGAGGTGGCTCTACTGACCTCTCATTGAACCGCACAGATGGGAATAAAATGACCAACTTTGTTTTAAACCACCACATTCAGAAACATGAGATAACTAAGTGAGATTCTGGCACTTTAAAGCAGGGTGCTGCCATAACAAAAATCCAAACTACATGGTGGTTTGTGGACCAGGTGGTAAGATTTTAGAAGCTAGAGTGACAATGGAAAAAGTACTTCGTGAAAACTCAAAGAACTGAGGCAAGTGTTAAGTGGAAGGGGCTGAGAAAGTTTAGGTTAAGAACTTGAGGAAAAGAAAGCTTTGAAAAACATTTGAAGACAGAGGAAAGGGTTCTTGTTCTGTATTGAGAGACAGTCTAATAACACTGTCACCAGTAACCACGTGGAAAACAGAAAATGTCTTAATGCCTTTACTGATACAATTAAAGAGATTTCACTAGTCTATGAGAAAATTCAAGAGGACAAACATGCTAAATTACAAACACATATAAAAGAGCCAGGACTTCCTTGAGTTCAAAAGTAAAATTGTTTTTAATTCTAAGGCAAAAAAAGATTCTCAAACTCTGGAAAGACTTCAGGTCAAAGATAAAATTCAGGGTGGACTATAAGCTCTTTAGGTAAGACACAAAATGACCTTCTTAGAATACTGAGGACACCGTTCCAACAAGGTTCTTTCTGATTTGAGTATCATCAACTGATATGTGTGTGTATTGTTGTTGCTGATTGCCTTCAAGTTGAGCCTGACTCACAGTTGACTCTATGAACAAAGGGCCTGAAGCCCCTCTACAGCTATTGATTTTTATCAAAGTTCATACCGTTTCCGGAGGCATTCATGTTGTTTAGGAAGTAGATACCATTCCTGGTTCCAAACCTGTCATAGAATGTTAGTGACTGAGTTGCCTGTGATGCATAGCGACCCTATATATAGCAGCTTTGAAACCCTCCTTTTCTTGAGCCAGTCTCACTAATTCTGACACACCAAACCCCACTGCCCCAGTCACTGTATCAATCCATCTCATCCAGGGTCTTCCTCTCCTGCCCTGTCCTTCCACCCTTCCCTTCTGAGCATGAAGTCCTTCGCCAAGGACAGATCTCTCTTGGCTACATGCCCAAAGTAGGTGAGACAGAGCTTCAGAATCCTAGGCTCCAAGGAGAGATTTGGTTTTACCCTTTCAAAGACAAACCTATTTGTTTTCTTGGCAGTCTATGGTATGTTCAAGACTCTTCTCCAGCAGCACACTTCAAAGGCATCTACTTTCCTTCTGTCATCTTTAGTCAATGCCCAATTCTTTGAAGCATAACAAGTAACTGAGAAGACAATGGCCTGGGTCAGGTGCACCTTTGTAGCTAGACTGACATCGTTGCTCTTCAGCACTCTGGAGAGGTCCACGACAGCCAATTTCCTGACTGCTGGTATTAAGAGTGTTGATTGTGGATCTGAGCAAGCTGTAATTACTTACAACCTCAATCTTATCTCCATCCATCATGGTGCTGCCAATTGGCCCAGTGGTGAGAATCTTAGTCTTCTTGATGCTGAGCTTCAATACATAAAGAAGACTACAGTCCTTGACCTTTTGTAGCAAGTGATTCAGGTCTTCTTCAGTTTCAGCAAGC